CAAATCCCAGAAGGGAAAGCAAGTGCAGGACACACAGCGCGTGAAACAAGGTCAGTTGACGCTCGATTGTCTCTACGATTGCTGTACACAAGAGTGCGAGGCCCTGAAGCTGCAGTGCCGAATTCAAGGATTGACAAAACTCTGCGTAGTTCTCGGCGCTGGTCACATGTTGAATCAAAGTCTTGAGGATACCTGCCGCAAGGCAAAGGGCATAAATCGATATGCGGATCTGCAATCTTGGTCAGCTGTCAAGTATCTTGTCGTGCCTAGTTTTGACTGTCTGAATAGACTCACTCCCGTGCCAGTGACGTCGGGGTTGGCCTCTATAAAATCACAAACGGCTCCTGATGAGTTTGTTGTCGCCATGCTACGAATCTTTGTGTTATGTATTTTGCAAGACCCGAGGGCCCAGATTTTGGGGTCGAGACAATAGAATGCATATATACGTGGCTGTGTTGTTCTTGTGACATAGCCGAGCTGCCTCTTATCCTCCAAAACATCTCAGCCTGGACTGATTGCGAAATCTGCCTAACCTAGCCCATTCCGAGTGATTGCTCCCTGCGCGGGACAAAGTCCGTCAATTCCCCAGGAAGCTGCCCAATATCCTTGCTAATTAACGGATGTGGCCCAATCAGCTCCCCTGATATCCGACAAGCTGAAATATACCCTCGCAATTCAGCCCCCGCTACTCCGTACATGCCATTGCTAAGACTCAGCCGCGGTAAGGGCGGAATTGTTGCGAGCGAGACATGAGGATTGACATAAGGACCGCGAGAGCAAGACTTCGGACGTTGGATATCATAAAAGCCAGGACGCCCAGTTTCGTTTCGCTCTTGGCACCACCCTGATGATGCCTACCTAGGTAGTCATGTTAGAAAACTGGCAACGCTCTCAAAAGTCGGTTAAATCAAGGAGGTGGCTATAAGAATCTCGCGCAAATGGATCCCACATCACGAAGAAGCGCGGACAGCTCGTCCATCGAGGAGATTGAACGTGGTGAGATTCGAGTCTTGCCGCAGGGCAGCGTCGAGATCATGCCGCCACCAGTACTGGTGAACACTGCACCATGGAGGTTTGGTGAGTCATACGGGTACCATACTTGTGTCGATATACTAATACCAATGAGTATTCGGGTTCGGCGGCCTCGCTATAATCGATATAGGAATGCATGCGGCAGCTGGAGCGGCAGCTGCTCGCGTCGGTGCAGAGCTCAACCACGTGGCGGCATCAACACTGGTAATACAGATGGGTGCTTTGGCCGGCGCGACTAAAGCAGCCATGACGACGTTCCGTGAGATTATCGGCTTCAGCTCTGTAAACCTTGTTTTCCAGATCTTGCTCATGCTACTCACATCCTCGTTCGGGGTTTGCGCGCTGTTGGTATCAGAGGTGGGAAACATTGTGCTCGGCGAGAGTGAGTAACCCACGACGCATTACGAAAGACCCGGGGGAGAAGCAGTCAGTGTTGACGATTGGTGTCGGCGAAGCACCGAAGCAGCTCATTATCGCAGCAGTGGTAGCCGCGGTACCACTTGTCTTCGAGATGATTCGCAATATCCACCCTGTGCAGGACCAAGAGGGCAAGACCGAATATTTTCGATGGGTGTATGCAATCCTTTTGATCGCAGCGGATGCCCTTGGCGGTTACGTTTTTGCGCGCATGGCTGAGAATCAAGGCATGCCGATCAGTAATTACCACGCAGCGTGCTCCGCAGGCGCAGTTTTCGGCACGCTGACTTGGATCTCGCGCGCCATGACTGGCATCGTGGCCATGGTCCAAGTGACACTCGCCGATGGAAGACGTTCGAATGTTTTTGGCGTGTACGAACTGGTTGATCCCGACCCCATTGTCGTGACGGAGGAGGAATATTTGGCCATGCATCGTGGGGTCGCGACCTTGCTCACGGGATTCTTCGGATCATGGCCCAAGATGAGCCAGAGATGTTTCTCATGCCTGTCTTGCTGTTGTGGACCGTGTTTCGCCTGTTTTGGACTCAAGGAAGAAATCGAAGATTTGCGACAGGAACTGGAAGATATGGAACGGGAGAATCGCGACGAGATGCAGGATGTCGGGTATCAACTTGCAGAGCAGATGTTTCCTGCCATAAGGGCCAATTGAGAGTGGCGGGGGAATGCTTTGAAGAGCGGGACGGAGTTCGTCTATATATATTATCTATAAGACAGAGTCAGTGCCTTTGCAGCCTCCACAGACCTGACCTAGGTATAAACGTCGACACGTCTGTTACTGCTCGACGTATCTCGTTGTGACAGGATAAAAACATGTGAAGGAGACCGCCAGAGGAGTCTTTCGCTCGTTGATGAGGTCTATTATTTTCAACTCGTCTATCGGGTTAAATCTGCAGCTCCTTCTGAGCCGGGCTGTTCTTTTCCTGCTTTGCCCTCGTTCTTTTTGATTTTGATATTTCAGTAAAATCCGCAGTCAATCATTCTCAGTTTGCGCTGCCGGTTCTATTTGTCTGCGTCTTAGCAAAACTGTCGTGCTCCTCAATGTCTATCGCCTCCCATGGGTAGCAGATCCACACATCGTCGACGGTGCGGGCTGCGTGGTATCGGTCCTTGGCCATCATGTCGTTGGGCAGAGTACCCTTCTTCTTCTTGTCCTTGTTGTGGAGGACGAATATGCTGAATTTGGTCTCCTCCTGCACGCCCAGCTTTTGCCTTGCTGCTTCGACGTCCTTTTCCAACTCCTTCACGGCATACTCGAGAGTAGTGCGTGTATCATCGACCTCATCAACGATCAGAATGCGCTTGCCGATCAGGTGCTCCATGCCGCCCAGGCCGCTCAGGTCCAGCCATTGTGTGCGCGTGACCTTGTGGCCAATCTGCTCTACGGCGCCGGGGGTGGTGGCGCCGCTCTTGGGGTCGACCTCGGGCAGCTGCTCGTACAGGGACAGGCCAATGGCTTGAATGGGGATGTTTGGTGAGCCGGGCTGCTTCAGAAACGACCGGAGGATTCGCGCTGGGACATATCCGCCACCGCCGATGGCAATCATGAGCTGAGGCTCGAAAGATTCGAGGATCTTGACGGCGCTCTCCTGACAGAGCTTGTGCACCTAAACATGATGGCCGTCAGCAGCCGATTCGACGTGTAAGAGATGCCTCCCGGTTCACATCTCATTAGGCGGTCGCGTCGCACCTGGATCTCCTGGCAGAAAGTAGGAAGAGGGGCATCGCTCGTGATCCTCACGATGCGACAAGCGGGTGAGGGCGGGGCTGACTCACGTCATTGTAGGTGATGTAGATCTTCTCAACCATGGTTGCGACTGGCTATCGTGGTACAATTTCAAGTGTTGTAGAAATGAAAGGCAGGTCAGGAAGAGTGTAGCGTACGCAGATTTGGTTGACGACAAGACCAAAGAGCAGTTTGCTTCTTGTATTGCACGCGAGGCTTGCGGCCTAGTAAGAGAGAATGACCTCGGACTGGAAGAAAAAAAAAAATGAATCTCTCATACCCAGACCCTCAAAAATTTTGGAGGGGCACTTTTAGGCGCGGGCGGCACTCTGTAAGTGAGTGAGTGCTTGCGCTGGGCCCTGCAGAGCATTGGAAACCCCACTGCGGCATCCCATGTTGGGCATTTGGTCCAAGATGATGGCGGCGCGCCCACTGCAAACACCTCGAAAAGCTCTGACAAGCACCTAACCTACCGGGGGCATCTAATGCACGAGAGGAATTTTTCTCCCTGCCGACTTGGGTAACCCCGCGGTATATAATTGGCTTCTGAAGCTTGGCGCGGTAAATCTTGATCAGTGGAACCATGGAGTCCGCCGATTCCCTATGGCAGAGATCAAATCCGTGTGTATTGTACGGGGAGATGGATGTAGCAAGTTCTTCACCCACATACAGAAGCTATTGCACGTTTGTACGTAGATGATGAGGCTTGTTGCTTGCTGAATTGGCAAACATGAGCACTCAAGCCGCTATTGTAAGATCACATCATATTTAATATATATACGAGCATGACATTCAGCAATCATCATTGCGGACACGACAGATCACAAACGCTCACATACCCACGTCACCAGTGCACGAAATAATATGCATGTCGCAACTTGGCCAGTCATGAATCCCAATCTATGCTCGGGATTCGTCTCGAGAAACACTATCAACATCATGGAAATATTTATTCAAGATGGACTGACTGCGGGCTTGGCTCTCGACCTACTTTACTTTGGTACCTTTATGGTCTACCTATCCTCGGCCAGAAGAAGCTGACAGGACTTCTCGATTCGAGATTATCTCGACTCCGAACTTCTCCATCAAGGGCTGCGTACGACCTCTGATCTTTTGATCGCGACCCAATGTAATCATACAAGCAAGTACACTGCATTTATTCTTATCCTTCTAAAACGCTGCTCAGCCATGATCCCGCGTTATTTATGCTCATCAGACACATTACCATCGCTACCTAGCCAAGACAATTATTAGGTAGGCCCCAAGCCCGCCCTAGCTTATAAGTTAGGTTCGTCCATGATGTGCCGACCAAACCGTTGAATCGGTCGGTAGCTGCAACCGTAGGTAGTACCGAAAAAAGCACTTGTCAACTTTTCACCTCGACGGCCCTGCTCTCTCAAACATGCAGTGGCATCAGGGGAGAGGCCCATCTTTTACAGAGTACAGGTCCCAAATCGAAGTATTCAACTTGAGGTATTGTCTCTCGACTTGCCTTGTTCCCCGTACATCTCCCGTCGTTTCACCAATTTGCGGGTCGCTTAATACAACTTCACATAGGTAGATCACGCTTATATCAAATTCCGCATTCCTCTCCGGAGCCCTCCGGCATGGCACGACTCAATTCAGAGCCCAATTACGCGCACATTCCTCACGCATACCTACCAGTCCCACCCATTCTGCGCATTCTGCGCATTCTGACACATTCCTTCCCCCAGATGATCCACCATCTTGGCTACGCCACAGTTCCGGCTCTGGCGTACACATAGTAGATCCCGATAAGACACCTGACCAACACCCAAGCATGGAAGCCCGGTTAGCTCAATTGGTTAGAGCGTTGGACTTTTACATCATCATCCTGATGCCGCTGTCATCCAAAGGCTGCGAGTTCGACCCTCGCATCGGGCGATGTTTCTTTTTGCCCTTGAGGGAAATTCTTTTTTTGAGTATATTTATCATCTTTCGCTTCTTTTACTTGGTCTAATTGTGCTCGCAAACCTCAAGCGCTTGCCCGACAACCGAGCCGCGGACCACGAGTTTATTGTACTGGATAATTCAAGTTTCGGGACAGTCTCCCAAGTGTCATATAGGTACTTACTACACTTTATGTGACAGCGCCAAGTATATCTATCACATTTCGCTTGCCACGAATGCTTCTAGGACGCTGATCTGTACATACATACATCTTCTTTGGTCATTGCAACCAGTATACCTAAGCATGCATGTATTTCACAGGCTGAGTAGGCGACAACTCACAATTTTTGGTGCATCGAGCAAGGAGCACAGCCATGTTACAGCCTGATGGGGCGGGCTATCAAGATCTGTGCATCTTCTTTCCTGGCATCCGGCCAACTCAGACTTTGCAAATAGGTTGTGACAGGGACATGAAGCCTCGTGAGTTGGCAGCAGTTCCTATGAAAGATGACAGCTAGCCACTTGTCTAATTCAAAGTCGCGTTGCTGCCAAATATAGTCAACGGGAAAGCGTCAGCTATCGCCTGGTAACCCGCCGGGTTTGGATGCAGATGATCACCACTGTCGTATTGGCTTGCCAGATTCGCTCGATTCGCGGGGTCTGCCAGGATTTTGGCAAAGTCAATGGCCGCATCAAAACTACCATCGCCGCCGCCCAGAATCCAGTTGTTGATACGTTGCCTTGTCGCCTCCCGCGTCGGATTACTATAGCTCTGTCCGTTGCCGCCGAACGGTGTGATGGTGGCTGCGAAGACGGTGATTCCGGCCTTGTGCGCATCAGAGGCGATCTGCTTGAACGCGGAAATGAGCTGATCTCCAATGCGAGTCTGAGTAGACGAGTCGGTCGATCCACCACCGATATCGTTGACTCCCTCGAAGATGATGGCATACTTGACTCCCGACGTCTGCAGTAGATCTCGCTTGTAGCGCTGCATGAGAGGTGGGCCTAACCCTCCAGTGAGGACAGTATTGCCACCTGCGGCCTGATTATCCACGCCAACATCGGCTACGCCAGACTTTTGCATCTTTGCCAGAACGAGATCGGGCCATCTGCGCAATGTTATATGAAGAGCCCTCGTCAGGAAAGAGACACGCTGGCATGGCTAGCGACTCACCTGTTATTCGCATTGTCGGTGCTTCCCCGGCCGTCAGTGATGCTGTCGCCAAGGATAACTAACGCCGAGGTCGAAGCGGGCGCCCATGCCTCGACAGCGCTGAGAAAATACCAATGTGCCGTGCTTGCGCTCGTCACGGTGCTTGCGTTGACGTGATTACCCTGCTGCATCCACGACGTGGTCCGGCTTCCCGGATGCCCCGTAATACTATTGCCGGACTGCCCTGCTTGTGAGTACAGGGTAACAGTAATGACTGACTGTGCCGGCGCCTTGAAATTTACCGCATCCGTGTAAACGACCTGACCCTTCGGAACAACTGTCGAACTTGATCCATTGAACGTAAGCCCTACGAGGCTTGTAGTATCGATGCCATTGACTCCGGCTTTTCCGCCAACTGGGAGCGCCAGCGATGCTGCTGTGACAGGAAGATCACTCCCACCAAAGGTATTGGAAATCTGAAATCGAATTCGCTCAACGCCAACAGACAGATGGATGGTTTGACGTAGTGTGGCGTCTTTGAACATGGAACTACCTTGCTTTTCATGGGGTTATCATGACCGCGGTTTGGCAACATGCAGTGGGACTCACAAAGGGAGAGGGCGGCAGGTTGCTTGACTCTACCAGCTGTGGCACTACAACATGGTGTTAGTCACTCTTTCCTTGGATGTAGCAATAAATTATAGATGGCGCTTTTGAGCATCATCGCCTGACATTACTGTGTTGAAGCACCGGAACAGACCACGACTGTCCATGAGACAAACGAGTATAACACGGAAAATTGCGTACTAGAAGTCCACGAAGCAACCCAATGGTATCCATCTTGTCGAATTTCCAATGAGGTTTCATCGAAAGGCAAGGCACACGAGGAGTGTAGGAACACTAGCAGGGTGGTAACAACGAGACTGAGGCCCCTCAGGCTTCGTGCGAATGAGGACAACATGGCCAGAAGAAGATGACGATGAGATGCCAAGGGATCATGATGACAGCTATTTTATTAGAAGTTTCTTGTCGTTTTTAAACCGAGTTTTCATGCTGGAAGCGCGGCCGGAGACTTGGTCTCCGTAGTGATATATTGCGTCCAAGCAACATATTTAGCCTCAAAGGGATCCAGGTCTCCCGATGGACGATCGCTGGGCCCACTGAAAGCGGCTCAATACAGATTCTGGGGAAAAGAGCTTATTTCAGATGAACCTGGGCAGACGGGAGTTGATCCTCTGATTCCGATACTAAGCGATGGACACAGCGCGGAATGAACAGCGCACTTCAGGCTGGCTTGCGAGGTCATTGGTCGACTGGAGCCGAAGGGGGAAAACACATAGCCGGTGGTGGATTACATTTCCCCAGATTTGGCGATCCGGGACGACGGGACGCTTGCATTAGACCTGGCCCTGGAGCAGTTATATAAAGAATAGTACGTAGTATAAATACGTTACGAATCTGTCGACTATAAATCTCTTTGGATCTCGTTATTTGCGTCGTTCTGTACCGCGATGTTGTGCTCAAACTTCGAGCTCCAGCCGCGCGATTAAGCGCCTCGATCCGATGACCAACAAGGCCCCGAACACGGGGCTTCGAGTCACCTTCAACCTTTAATGCCTCCGATGTACGGCAGGTACGTACCTACCCGTCCGTTGATCTGGAACCTGCAAGTCCGGGCGGTGTGCCATGAGGACCATCCAGATGGCGAATGACATGAAAACGTGCAGAACATTATTTGCCAATGCCAGGTCTGGATCTCCCACTAGCAATCCACCTTGAAAGGATTTCCGAGCCAGAGGAAACTTGTCGATATACTGTTCCGCATTGGTTTCCTGCCGGGTTCTCGTGAACCCTCACGGCCAATGCGCAGTCTCTGAAGAGGGCACAACCAAGCGGTACAGATGCAGCCACAAGATTGGGAACCCATGAGAAAGAGCTGGAATAGCATATTGTATTTCTACAGTTCTTCGGCCATCCAGATCACAAGACAAAATAGGGTCTCTCGTTATGGTATACGTGTGCTGCATATGCCGACTGGTAGCGGCCAATTCGAAGCGACGCATTCCTCTTTACCAAACCAAATCCACGGAGGGGCCATGTGGGATGATTTTTATTTGTTCCCATTTCAACCTTTTCATCATGTAGACTAGGGTCCAGCTGCACCAGTCTTTTTCGTAACGGCGGAACTAAACACGTAGCTGCGAATACGCGGCGCTGCGGCCCAATGGTATTCATCGCATTTAAGTGCAATGTCTGGATACCGGCAGTATCAGGACCTGAAAACCTTAGCAGACATAGAATCTACATAGTTTGACTGGGCCAGTACACGATCGCTCTGATGTGTAAATCTCGTAAATAGCGACTCTGGGGACTGCCAATTGCTATAACCTGCTCTCGCTTATGTTCAGCAAGTAGAATTAATCAATCTGGCATTCGGATCAATTGGTGCAAGCAGAAACCCGCATTCTGATGGTCTACATGATGCCCCGTGCCCTTACATCATACCACACAGGTCTGAGCAGCCTCAAGATCCTTGGGCGACACGAAATTACGGGCTCCTCCACACTTTCTGGGCGCCGACCGATTGCACTGCATCTGAGTCATAAAGTCGCTTTTATCAACTTTTTGTTCTCTGGGACTTCATCTGTCATTGAATTTTTTCTTCTTCTTGCTCTCTCCATCACTTTGAGCAGCAGTGCTATTTAGAAATCCTGTAAACGGCTGCACTTGCCTCAGCTTACCGTATCCCACCCCCACCAAGGACCGTTGATTTTTTTTTTCCCTCCCTCCCACTTCCTTCCACCTCTGTACAACTTCAACAACGCATCTACCCGATCCACCCGCCTTCCCCGTCCACATATCTAGTTGAACTCGTCGTCTACAGACGTCTTTGACATTGTTTGGTAGACTTTGCTCACCACACGGCTTGAATCCTTACCTGGACTCTGCCTCACGTCTGGCTCCTTGCCTTTTGCACGGGAAGATCGTAAATCGACATGGCTTCCCTTCAAGTGGATGACACCAGAAGTAAGTAATACAGAACCTGCACCAATGGAATCTGGCGTTCCTTGCAACCTCCTCAGATGCAATGGGATGCACACAGCTCTCCATGTCAGCAGCATGTCAAAGCTTTCAAACGGGGTTCCTGCGTTGGTCTGGCTGCAATCATCCATTGCTTATATATGCCTGTACCAAAAGCTCGCGTGAAGCGTTCTCAGCGCTTTCTCAATCTCAATTTTGCTACTACCAAACAATAATCCAGAAGTGATGCTCAAAGCTAACGATCTCGCAGTCCTGGGTCAGGATCCCCTGATCCCGCCTGCCCTGCTGATCTCCGAGGTCCCCATGACTGAGACTGCCCTTCAGACGGTTGTCAAGGGTCGCCGCGAGGCTGCTGCCATTGTCATGGGCGAGGATGACCGTCTCTTGGTCGTTGTTGGGCCATGCTCCATTCATGACCCTGCTATGGCCCACGAGTACTGTGCCCTCCTTCGCGAGCTGTCGGACAAGCTCAAGGATGACCTCTGCATTGTCATGAGAGCTTACCTCGAGAAGCCCCGTACCACCGTCGGCTGGAAGGGTCTCATCAACGATCCTGATATCGACGAGAGCTACAAGATCAACAAGGGCCTCCGGATATCGCGTCAAATGTTCTGCGATCTTACCGCAAGCGGAATGCCCATTGCCAGCGAGATGTTGGATACGATCTCTCCCCAGTTCCTGGCAGATCTGATCTCAGTCGGAGCCATTGGTGCCAGGACCACCGAGTCTCAATTGCACCGAGAGTTGGCCTCGGGTCTCTCTTTCCCCATCGGCTTCAAGAATGGCACAGACGGAAATC